TCCACAGTAACATATATAGATATATTGTTAATCTCAATATCATTCTTGGTGCTCCTTAATACAAAGATTATGAGATAATTATGATAATTTTAAATTTATATTTAAAACTTATAAATCATGGAATAGATTATTATAATTTTAAATTTATATTGTGTTAATTTTAAATTTAAATTAATGGATTGCTTTCCATCTTTAATGACAGTTTTAATTTTAATAAAATAAAATTTAAAAGTTTTAATTAATTAATTTTTGTGTAAGCTGGTTGGTATTTTGACCTAACTAATTAAGTTACTTTTTTTTGCTTTGAATGATTTACTGGTTTAACCATAGTTTTCGCAGTTTTACCAAAATATATAGGTTAGTTGTTTGATTCGAAATAAACTAAAAAACTAAGATTGATTGATTAGAAATAAACTTATCTCCCAAACAATTATTAATTTTTATTTTATAATCCCACATCATGGGGGAAAACAAAAAGTAAATTGTTTTACTTATATAAAATGAATCTTATAAATGGGATTTTGAGGGAGAAGCCTTTTAGAAACTTCAAGCTTTCATTCTAAAATTATTGAATTTTCTTAATTTTAAACAATTAAGAAAATTTCCATTAGTTAGCTTTTATTTACTTTTTATTTTACAATCCCACATTAGGGGAAAAAAAGAAAAAGACAAATTGTTTCACTTAAATAAAGTGAATTTTATGTTTCCATTTGTATAAATTATTGAATTTTCTTAATTTTAAACAATTAAGAAAATCCCCATTAGCTAGCTTCCATTTAACTTTTATTTTACAGTCCTACACCGAGAAAAGAAGGAAAAAGTGAATTATTTCACTTACATAAAGTGAATCTTATACTCCCATTTATATAAGCAAAATGAGATTTTTAGTGAAAAATCCTTTGATCAAATATCATGCAATTTTTTTTTTCTTCTTAATTTTAAACAATTAACAAAATCTCCATTGGTTAACTTTCATTTACCTTTTATTTTACAATCCCACATTGAGTTTTTATTTTAAAAATAATTTTGTATGATATTTTAAAATTCTCATAATGTTTAACTTTAAGATAATTACAATCCCACATCGAGACAAGAAAGAAAAAGTGAGTTGTTTCACTTATATAATGTGAATCTTATACTCCCATTTAATATTGCAGTATTGTGTATGTTTTAGTTCAAAATGGTTTAAATTTTAAAATAAAATTTTAAAGTTTTAATTAATTGATTTGTTGTAAATTGGTTGGTCTTTTAACTTAGCCGATTAGGCTGAATTGTTTTCAGTTTGACTGATTCACTAATTTAACAACAGTTTTGGCTATTCTATCAAAATATATTGCCTAGATTTGTTTAATTTGAAATAAACTAAGATTGATCTTATTAAAAATTAAATGACTGAGATTGCTTGATTAAAAATGAATCCGTCCAAACAACTATTAACTTTTATTTTACAATCTCACATCAAGAAAATGAGGAAAAAATTAGTTGTTTCACTATATAAATCTTACATTTCCATTTAATATTGTAGTGTTATATATGTATCAATTCAAGACAGCTTAAATATTAAAATTAAAATAAAATTTAAAAGTTTTAATTAATTAATTTTTGTATAACTTGATTGGCCTTTTGACCTAGCCGATAGGATGAACCGTTTTTGGTTTGACTGATTCGCCGATTTAACCTCGATTTTAGCGATTTTATCAAAATATATTGGTTAGATTTGTTTGATTCGAAATAAATTAAAGATTGACCTAATTAAAGATTAAACAACTGAGATTACTTGATTCGAAATAAACTTCCCGCCCAAACAATTGTTAACTTTTATTTTACAAAATCTCACATCGGAAAAAGAAAAAAAAAGTGAGTTATTTCACTTATATTATATAAGGAAAAATGGGTTTTCAGAGAAAAGATTTTTAAGAGCTCCAAACTCTCATTATAAAATTAATAAATTTTCTTAATTTTAAACAATTAAGAAATTTTTCTTTGGCTAGCTTCCATTTAAGTTGTATTTTACAATCCCACATCAGAAAAAGAAGGAAAAAGTAAATTGTTTTACTCACATAAAGTGAATCTTATGCTTTCGTTTATATAAATAATTGAATTTTCTTAATTTTAAACAATTCAGAAAATTCCCATGAACTAACTTCCATTTAAATTTTATTTTACAATCCCACATCGAGAAAAGAAGGAAAAAGTGAATTATTTCACTTACATAAAGTGAATCTTATACTCCCATTTATATAAGCAAAATGAGATTTTTAGTGAGAAGCTTTATAATCAATATCTCATACTATTTTTTTTTTATTTTCTTAATTTTAAACAATTAAGAAAATCTCGATTGACTAACTTCTATTCAACTTTTATTTTACAATCTCACTTAGAGGTTTCGATTTTAAAAAAATTTGTTTGAGATTTTGAAATTCTCATAATATCTTTCCTTCAAAGTATTCTTTTTTAAAATATATAGATATATTGATAATCTCAATTCATTCTTACTGCTCCTTAATACAAAAATTATGAAATAATTATGATAATTTTAAATTTGTATTTGAAACTTATAAATTATGGGATAGATTATTATAATTTTAAATTATATTGTGTCAATTTTAAATTTAAATTAATAGAGTATGTTCCATATTTAGTGACAGTTTAAATTTTAATAAAATAAAATTTAAAAATTTTAATTAAGTGTAAGCTAGTTGGTCTTTTGACTTAACTGATTAAGTTAAACCATTTTTTGTTTGAATGATTTGTTATTTTAACCGTGATTTTAGTAATTTTACATGTTACGGTGATTCTTTCTTACTCATTAAGTTTTTAAATTTTTTTTAATTATTTCCCTTTCAAAAACCAATATGACAATTTTTTAAAATTAACATATTTTTATTCTAAAATAATGAAATATTATAACCATATCATTTTTTTTTATAACAAAGTATAATTTTAATTATTAATTGTCAAAACAACAATTTTAATCTATCTATACTACATGTTATAGTAAAGGAACATTTAAAACAAGGGAATGACTTCCCTCTAGTCTGTGATTGAATTAGAGGGTACTGTTGGGCTCGTATGGGCTCATCACGAATCTCGTTTCGATAATCCGAACCGTTAATGTGTAGAACTCGTTGAGTATTATACGCTTGTAAAAAATCACGTTGATCGAATATCGATAGCTATGTGATCAAATCAGATTTTTGTAAACCATTTATTTTTCACCGTTCATTTTTTTCATACAAAAACTGATTTGATCACATGGCTATTTATATCCGATCAATGTGATTTTTAATAGATATATAGTACTCGATGAGTTATACACATTAACGGTTCAGATTATCTAAACGGGACCCTTAGTGGGCCTCCACAGGCCTAACAGTACCTTCTAGTCCGTGATTGGACTGAAGACCTTAAACAAAACCCTTATAAAATTTTATTTACGAGAAACAAAATATAAAAAAATTAAATATATTTATTATATTTTAATAAAAATATATTATTTTATCTTGTGTATAACGGGTGATAGGTTAAAAAAAAGGGCAAATTACATATACCCTTTGAGGTTTGGTTAAATTACAGATACCCCTGAGATTTCAGAAATTACATCCCGCCCCCTAAGGTTTATATTCACGTAACAATTTGACCCCTGCCGTGAACTAAACCGTTACAATAGTGTGCTGACATCACCAAAATGTATGTTGATGGACCATATTACCCCTATGACCTTTCAAAGTGCCAACACAACCCCCTTTATTTATTTATTAATTTTTAAACACAACCAGACAACCTGTGCCAAAGCACAAACAACTTTTTATTTTTTGTTTTTTATCTTATTATCGTTGAACACAACCCTTTGGTTTGTTGTTTAAAAAAAATTTCAAACTTTTTATTAAAAAAGTTGTTTAAAAAAAATTTCAAACTTTTTATTAAAAAAATTAAAAACTAATCTATAAAAATAAATATGAAGAAATATATTTAATTTTTAAAAAATTAAAGGGTCACAGGTTGAAATCTCATAAAAGATAAAATTATATAAAAATGATAATTATTTTTTATTTTTTTATTTCTTAACCAAATTAATTATTATTTTTTTAAAAAAATCGAAAACAAATTTCTAAAAATCAAACCATACATAGCCTAAAAATCTTTTGATAAATCATTTCGTACGTTAGTAACTTATTTAATTATTTATTAATTTTACGACATTTTTAACATTTGATAAATGTTTTTCCATTTTAATTTTGCATTCCATAAATTATTAAATTAATTAATTTTGTATTCACAACTTATTCAGTTAATTTGTTATTTTTTGAGTTTTTTTTTTTGGTGAATAGTTATTTTTTGGGTAATAAATAAATACCATGGAATCCTCTTCAACATGGAAGGAATGAAAAAAGAGCACTCAAGTAGCTTGAAATTGAAATATTACCTTAAAAATTCAGATACACAAGTCTGAAATATTAACTTAATTACATATTCATGTCCAACAAAATTAATTACAAGTCTGAAACATTCATGTCCACCAAAATACAAGTCTGAAATATTAACTTAATTACATTACATATTCATATACAAATTCTTGTCCAACAAAAACTTTGCAAGTCAATAAAAGAGTAGTAGCCCACCCAACTCAAAAACCTGTGGTGAGCAAGGATGCATGCCTTCTGATATGTAGTAATATGAAGACATTGTTAGAAAAGTATACCCACTAATTACACAAAAAAAGTATACCCTAGTCTTTAGTTCCTTCCAGCATCCCCTATACAAAAAGCAATTCCTGTACAAAAAACATCACCTGAAAAATAACAAAACAAAGAACAACAAATTAATAAACACAAATGAATATATTTTAAGTGTTATGCATGATGCAATTACATCCATACCTATGGTTCAAGTCATGCTCCACTGAGTTGGAAGCACCCCATCTTGTCGTTGATCCTAAAAAATGAATTGGATTAGTTGGCCTCAAATTTCATGTGGAAAAATAAAATAAAATAACATAATCATTTGTCATTCATACTTACATCAACAGTGCTCCTCTTAGTAGCTGTGAACCTTCCAATTGTGCTCCTTTCAACAACAGTACCAATTCCTCTCTGAGCAAACTCATTTGTTCCCATTTCCCTACCCCTAATAGGTGCCCTCTGGCATGTCCTCTTATTGTGCCCAATCCCTTTGCAAATGATGCACTTCACAGTGCATGATCTTTTTGATGGTGCAGCCTCATCAACTTCCCTTCTCCTACTTTTTCTAGGTCTTCCAGGCATCCTCTTAAGAGGTGGAGGCTTCAACTCATCTCCAAGAACTAGACCCCATAAACTCTCATCATGCATTGGATGTATAATTTCCCCATACGCCTTAAAATAAATGTGTTTGTAGTACATTGTGTCACAATAGTTCTCCAAGTTTATCCTCTTATGAGTAATGCAAGCTGTTGCATGCTTGCAAGGGACTCCACTTATGTCCCATATCCTGCAACAACATGACCTTCTTTGTAGGTTTACAATATAAGACTCCACACCTTCAGCCACTTGATACTCTTCTTGTCCTGCAAAAGTCACTTTACAAAGCCTAGATTGAAGAACCACTTCATCCAATTTCTTCTTAATGTTAGGGGTTATCAAAGATTGCCATGAAGCTACCTCTTCAAACCTCTTATGTAACTTGTTCATCAGTTTCAATCTGATATTTTCTAACAATGTTAAGATAGGTTTACCCCTAACATTACCAATCCAATTATTAAATGACTCCACCATGTTGCTAGTAACATGTTCAGTTTTCACCCTATGATCAAATGTGTGTCTTGCCCATATTTCAACTGGAAATTTAGAAAGCCAGCTATGTGCTTCAGAAGATAACTCCAACATCTGTCCCATTGCAATGTTAAAATCCTTGACAGTGTAAGCTTTAGCTGCAGCCCAAAAGGCTCTTTTCATCTTTAAACCAGGGAATTTGCCCTTCAACTTGCTGAAAATGTGTCTACAGCACCTCCTATGTGTTGCTTGGGGTATTACTTGTCTCATGGCTGGCTTAATGCCCTTTTGACCATCAGACATGATTGTCAATGGCATGCTTTGGGGGCCATTACCAAAAATGGTGTTCAAGTGGTAAAGGAAAAAGGCCCAACTATCTTTACATTCACTCTCCACCACACCAATTGCAATAGGATAAAGACCATTATTTCCATTAAGACCAACTGCAGCTAACAATATGCCCCCAAATGGTCCCTTCAAATGACACCCATCCATAGCTATGAAAGGTCTGCAACCTTCTTTAAAGCCATGTTGTATGGCTGCAAATGAAAGAAAAATTCTTTTGAATGTTGGTAAGGGAGGAGGTAAGTTTGGCTTAGATGGTGGCTTTCTTTCCCTTTCAAGTTTGACCAAACTACCAGGATTGGTCCTCAACACTTTTGCAGCATACATTGGAAGTTTGGTGTAAGCCTTTGCATGATTACCCTCAATTGCCTCCATGGCTTTCCTCTTCCTCTGTACAGTTGCATCCTTGTAGTCTCCAATCCATAATTTTCTACTATTTCATCATGCATTGCCTCTAAAGTGATCCCAGGATTCCCTCTAAGAGTTTTTTCAAACTTCTTAGCAATCTAAGATGATGTTGCTTCAGTATTCCTTTCTACTCTAACGCATGTATGGTCGGGGTCCAACGTCTTAATCTTATATGTCACCCCATCAGGTAATGGAGAAGCATGAATTCTTCATTCACACATCGAGGAAGCACATATGCAAGTCACTCTTTTCTTGACATTTTTTATTTTAATCAATTTAACACCTCTTTCAATTGCAAATTCCTGGAGCACAGTCCTGAAATGATACACATCATCAAATATCATTCCCTCCTCCAATGTTATTTTCTCCCCTTTCTCTATTTCAAACATTTTCCCCCTCATATATCTGTCAACATTAACACCTTGCACATCTTCTTTATCAGTCGAATATTTCCCTCCTATATCATCAGATTCATAGTCTGATAGCCCCTCATCATTAGCCTCAATTGGTTTATTTGACCCATTACTACCCTCATCATTATCTGAAGTGTCCTCATTATCTTCATCACTAATGATATAAGCATTTTCTTCATCAGCATCTGCTTCACTAAATTCAAAATCCCTTAGCTCAGTCCAATCAACATCATTGTAGTCATCCACATTGCTAAATAAATCATCAAATACTATTGATCTATTTCCAATGTTACTACCCACACCACCTCTTGTACTTGTGCTGCTACTACTCACGTGTCCCTCTCCACTAGTAGGATTATCAGTTACGACAAATGAAAGTAAAAGTTGATCAAGTTCCAGAAAAATATTAATCACCTTAGTACCATAATTTGAACTAAACATTTCAATGACATCCTGATCAGATTTAACCTCCATATTATTCTTAGTGTGTGTGTTTGTAAAGTACAAATTTAATCCCACACCAAAATTCCCAGGTACATTAGTGAGTTCAGCTTCACAAGCATCAACCAACAATTGTATGTAGTCATACTTGTAAGGATTAACATTCAAAATGTGACTTACAGAACCATTAAAGTGTACTAGTATGTCATGAAGCATGAGATCAACCATTGTCCTAAATACAAAAAAAAGCCATCACAAAATTCATGAATATCAGAAGGCATCTACACAACAAGCTTACATTACAACATCAAAATTTTAGTAAATAAAAGAGTAGAAAATAAACCCAAAAAAACCACTTAAACCCAAATTTTAGAAAAAGAAAGAGTAGAAAACAAACCAAATAAATTCCCAAAAATACTAATTGAAACAGACCCAAAATTTTAGTAAAAGTAAGAGTAGAAAACAAATATAAAAAAAATAATAAATTTCCCTAAAATACTAATTGAAAACAAACCCTGTAACCCAAAATTTTAATTAAAAAAAAAGGTAGAAAGAAATCCAAAAAAAAAAAACCTAAAATAGATTGAAAGCAAACCTTTAAACCCTAATTTTTTTTTAACAGGGTAAAATACAAATCGATTAAAGACAAACTCACAAAATTTCGTAAGCAAATAATCCTAAAACAAATTTTATAAAAAAAAAATCATGAACAAAGAATCCTAAACCCTTAAATTTCAATGCTTAGTATGAGAGAGTAAAAATGGATCACTTATAGTGTTTCAAAGCAATATAGACATATAAATTTCAGATTTTTGTTCAATCAACGATCTAAACTTCTTTGTGTTGTCTCTTCTTCTTTTAGATCTATGCATCTAACAATAAACAACAATACCCTCACTTTCCCCTTTGCAATGCCTTTTCCGTCTCTCTCTCAGATAAAGAAATGAAAAAAGTGAAGTTTACCTGCTTAAAAAAAAAAAAAAGTTTACTTGAACCTATATAAAAAGCAAGTATTGACTTGACATGAGGGCATTTCAGTCAATTTATTGTCTGGGTTAACGGAGTTAATTGTCAGGAGCAGAATATAATTTCTGAAACCTGAGAGTGTATCTATAATTTAACCAAACCTCATGTAATTTGCCCCGCCTAAAAAAAGAAAAAGAAAAAAAAGTGTCATATATTCTTCCAAGCCTCTGGGACCATGCAGCCAACGTGACTAAACCTCCTTGCCAAATTATGCGCAAGAATAATAATAAAAATCCCTAAAAATCCCGACATTGATGGACTTCCCCTCCTCCAAATCCAATCCACTTCACCTCCGTCTCCTCATTCACTCCCAAAACCCTTCCACCGCCACCACCGAAACTTGCCTCGGCGAGCCATGGAGAACTTCAGGGCTCTCGCCGTGCAATTGGCCTCTTCAGACCCGGACAGACCACTGACGGAATCCCGAAAGGCGCTCATCGAGAAACGCCTCCGTGATTTCTTCCCCGACTTTCACACCCCCAATCATCCTACCTATGCCTCTGTAACTACTATTTCTCATTCTCATCGTCTTCATCTTTTTATACATATATGTCTCTGTTTCTATGTGCATTCATTGATATATATATACACATTTGGCTTTCACTCTATTCATTGTGGGTGTTTAGGTAGTTAATATTTTAGTAGGTTATTTTAGTTTATGGCTATTTTAGTAGGGTAAAATTTTTGTGTGTGGAAAGATAGTTGGATTTTTTTATAGTTAGATATAGTTGGATGAGACGTTTGTGAGAGAAAAAGTGAAATGATTATGAGTTTAACGTGACATTTTATCTTATTGGCTATTTTACTCTATTTTGTCTTTTTTTGAATTTTAGTTCAAAAAGCCAAAAAAGGCTCTTGCCAAACACCCCCATTGTGTGTGTGTTATCAACCATATGCAAAAGAAGCCTGTTCAATTGATTGTTTAGGCCATATTTTGCTATACATTGTAATTTTGTCTCCACATTACGCTGTGTTTGGTTAAAATATTTGGGAAGAGATTTGGAAAGGAAAAGAGATGTAGGTGTATTTACATTTCACCGTCATTTTCCCTTTCCCTTTCCCTTTCCCTTTTCCTTTCTAAATCCCTCCCTAAATCCTTCCCCCAAACACAGCCTTATTGTGATTTTTTCAAGTAAGCCCCTTTTTTGGAAGTGAATTTTTATTACCAAAATAGAAGAGATCTACAACAAAGCTCCAAAAACTTGCCTCTCAAAGGCAGGGAAAAAACAAAATGAAGCCTACTCAAAGAGGCCTTGTGTGTTGTTGGTCTCTTGTGTTTGACTGTCCAAAAGACCAAAGTTGTTTTGTGTGGGCTCGCAAGCCCTAATGTTAATTAGACTGTCTACAGTATATTGATTTAATTGTATACATTATTATATACTTGTATGCATGTATAAAATGATTGGTGTGCTTGTGTCTCAATATGTATATCTGCATTGCGTATCCAACAGTGATCTGATTTGCGAAATGTTGACTCAGAAACTATTTTCCAAGAAATCCACTTGATCTTTCTCAGAATCTATTGCTGTCAAAAATTAAAAAAATAAAATATAAAAAATTCTGATAAGCTTGGCCTAGTCTCTGCTGAACTTTGTTTGGTTGAAATTTAATTTTCTTTCATGTAAAGCATTGGCGATAAATAGTAATGGGAGCCTTAATAAAAATATGCCATGTTTGTTTCACACAACAAGGGCATGAGATAGGATTACTAATCCCGACCTGGCCTTTATCTCGTGTTTAGTTATGCTTTAGGGCTTGGATAGTTGTGCAAACCAAATAAAAATCCCACATATAGTGGATAAGTTAGTCTTGTTGGTAGGGGTGGAATGGGAGTGTTGCGATTCATAGTCCGAGATTAGGAAGGGGTTGGGATTAGAAATGAAATTACCAATATGCCACGTTTACGATACAAAAACCAAGGACAGACTTTTTTGGGATATTCTCTCTCTCTCTCATTTCTCTCTCATCCTGGCCGACCCAAACCAGCTCATGTAGTTTTAGAAGGTAAGCAAGTTTGGTTGGGTGCAGGGTAGATGAAAAAAATTGACAGGTTGGTTGGCTTTTGGTTAAAGTTGTAAAAGGGGTTCCAGTTTTTCTTTTATCCCATGGTTATTAAAATCGCGATCTGGATCGTAGGATCCTACGATCCTACATTGCCAAAACGATCCAGATCGTTGATCATGCAGGATCATATGGGATCGTACAGGATCCTATAGGATCGTAGTAGGATTGTAAATTTTGTGATTTTTCACCTAATTTTTAATATGTATCATTCTAATTTGTATTTTTATCTTTTTTTAATAGAAGGTAGGATCTTACAATCCTCGATCCAATCCTACGATCCGATCCCCGAGACCTTCTCACCGATGCTACCTAGGATCCTGATTTTAACAACCTTGTTTTATCCAAAGATTATAAAGTTGTCTATGATGTTTAGGGCTTTTCTTGATCTTTTATTTCTTGTATAGGACATCTTGTCCTCCTTTTTGTGTTTGTTCATGCTTTTTTTTATCAGTAAAATTTTCTTTTGTTGCTGATAAAAATAAAGAAAAGTTTGTCTCCCTCCCGCATACAAATTGACCCAATCTGCTTATATGTAAAATTACTCTACACTTGCCCACACAATATTATCTCCCTAATCCTAATGCCATTAATGAGATGAAATATGGTCTTCAATAGCATCATGCATTTGATTAATTTGTGGATTTTATGTTTAGATGTAGAATAAATCATAATTTTTTTTGTTTGATATTGTAAAAAATATAAGGTTGTATATTCATTGATGTTCTTTCCCATTTCCCATTTCCCATTTCCCATTTCTTTTTGCTGACGACCTTATCTTATTTGCTAAAGCTACTAGAAGAAATTGTGACTCTATTATGAATGTTCTTGCTGAATTTTGTGACATGTTTGGCCAGAAAATTAATTTTCAAAAATCTAACAACAAAAAGATTTCATTTAAAAATGGAAAATGGTACAAGCAAGGACAAGAAGCCCTCTAAAGAAAATGAAAAAAGCAAAGAAAATCCACTAACAAAGCAAAAAAGGGCCTCAAGGAATACAAGCAACCCTCCAATCATTGAAAAT